TTCGAAAGCTCAGAACAATAAATCAATTGATCTGGTGCTCGACCTGCCTTCTCCCTCATCCATCGAACTACGGGTTATTCAATCAGGAACTACGCGTCCGAATCAACAATACAGGTGTGAAGCTTGTAGAGAATTTCGAAACTATTACTAAAACGTAATTCACTGTTACCTATTCCTACGGAATAAAGTGTCTTGACCAAGAAACTTCATATCACAGCCGACTGGGGGAAAGCATAAGCAAAAACGGTATTTCTCATATTATATATCATAAAATTTGTTTTTCAAGACAGTAAATATAAAAGAGATAGTGAGAAAACAACAAAATGCTCCTAGTGGCGCAGATTGTTTCAAGAGAGGAGGCGATGTGAGTGAATACGCGCTTCCATGGCAGAAAATAATCAGGATGAGTTGTTGACCGGGGCAGGCCGTCTCTTACGGCACAAAATACGAAAGAATACAGCGCTAAAAGTGACACAAAAGCCAAGCAGACCTATAGAGTTCATGGGATGATCAAACAGAAGGCAAGACACCAGAATGGAGAGGGCTTGTCGGATTGTCATGAGTATCACAAAGGTAGCGGCACCGAAGTGGGAGATAGTTAAAAAGATGAGGATTTGGCCGAGACCCGAACAGAGAGCTGATAGAGCCACATCGGTGATAAAGAGGGGGTGCTCTTGCGCAAAGGTCAGCGATGAGGCCAGGTTGTTTTTCCCAGCGAGAGAAACGAGGGTGAAAGCGACAGCCCAACAGCCGCATCCAAACATCATCTACAAATTTACAGGTACTTTATTGATTTAAGTAGCAAATACAACAAAATTAAAGCGACAATCTGCATAACGCAGATAGGACCATACGTGCTTGTTTAGCGTACTGGCAGCACAGATACTAGCTTAAAGCCCAGACACGTGTTTCCCCAAGATGTTGCCGCTGCATAGTACAGCTGCGAGGGATTCGGCTCATCAGTGAGTCCCTAGCATTAGCTGTGTGATTTCTGGCAAATACTTTAGTTTTGAAAGCTGTAAATTAGAGTGTATGCAAGGGTCTATAGGCGCAGACAACATTAGATATGAATATTTAGGCGGAAGTCGATCTGCCATTGCGGGATAACCACGTAATACTTATAAGCTGTCAATAGTCAGACAGGACCGGTTCTGAAGTAGAGAGTGTCTGTTTAGACCTCATACACACGAGTAACAAGCATCCCCCAAAACTATAAGCTTCTTAAACGTCTAGAACATCTACTTTCATTAAATTTACTAACTAACACAAAGGATGGTGTGCCAATACAAGCGAACGTCCGTGTCCCAGGAAGCAATTGAGAAGAAGAAGA